CCTCTCAAAGAAGGATTTATTTATACTTGTTCAGTTTTTTTTTTCATCAAGTCCTAAATTTCAGGTTAACCTGACTGAATAAAGAACCATCATGAGTGTTGCTTTTCGGGTGCAACAGCAAAAAAGCTCGACTTTCTAAATAACCTGTACTGGTACAGCCGAAACAACAACGTATTTTATATACAAACTCTATAAGTACTATATTACAACGGTGCAACGTATTCAGTTGAGATATTCAAAACACCTTCTCTACACAAGCATATTACTGATAACAAAGCAGAAAACTAGAAAAACAACAGGAAAATTCTGAAAGTGAACTAGGTACTTAAAACTTTACAACGCCAGTTTTCGATTCTCAATGATTTTAGTAAAATAATATCGTCCTTTGGTCTTTTCAGAACTGCGTACCTTTCACTAATTGTCAAGAGGTTTGTTAGCTATAAACATCATGATCAAGCACAGCATAGTCGTTTACAAAAAATCCGTCCTTAAAGATCGGGTTAAAACGTTATTCAGTATTGTATGAAATAACTGTTCGTGTCCTCCCCGATCTCCGTGGGCCATCTGCACTTGACTGGTGTGGGGTCACTACTGTTCTTGCAATTCCTTCATCAAAAGCAAACTGGCTGGCCAGTCGTTCAAGAGATGTTCTTGTTCGCCTGACCTGGGTTGGTGGAGGTTGCAATATTGTAGCAGTAGTGGATTCTATTTCCGCCAGCTCTTCTTCGGGGATAGTAAGTATTCCCTCCTCCGTTACTGACATGTTTGTGTGCGAGATAATGTCAGAGAATGGGAATTCACGTACGTCTGACAACGATGGCTTGTACACCCCGCGTTCAACGCTGTCATCTCTAGTGACTCCGCTGTAAACATGGAAATAACAGGTGATGGACTGCTTCTTGGAATCGTCCTAATTAACTGGTCTCTTGTAATCAACACGACCGTGATTACCATTCAAAACCATGCGAACCAGATTACCCAGGATAAATGCATTTTTCTTGCGATCAAGTACAGCATAGTCGTTGAAAAGGCAGACTGAATTGCCACTAGACGTTGATGCATGACCTTCCGTTCTTTGGTATTGCTGGCGTTGACGCACTCTTTCCAGTCTAACAAAAGCCCAAAAAAGATAAACAATATTGTTAGATTATTTTCCTGTCCGCCTGTAATCACTTGTATAGCAACAGCGACGTTTGCAAACCGATTTCAATCAGTTCTCAGTCTGATTAAAATCCCGTGGATGGTCGGGGTGAACGGACACAATTGTGAAATCGGACTGGAGGGATGGATGGTTTGTGCGGATGGGAAGAAATGAAAACAATGTGAATGAAGCAACGAACGAAGAACACGCAAATGAACAAACGATCAAATAAATTTATTTGGTTAAGTGAATACCTTGCTAGAATAAAGAAAACAAGTCTTACTGACCTTTCGTGTGACAACTGTGGATCTTGGTTCAGCAGTGAAACTAAAGTTGCCTTGTAGATTTCAGTTCCACGGGAGGGGATTGTGACTCTGGGTTCATTCCTTGTCTTGCTTTGTCCATCAGCACCAGAATCTAACATCTCCGCAGCGTCAAGTAGTGGTGTCATACCAGCATCTTGTCCCTCAATACCCCTTAAGTCATCTGTGAACATACGGTAAGCATGAAATTAACGTTATGCGCTTCTTTTCTATAGATACTTTGACAAAAGTATAAATGTGTTACATCTAGTGCGTGCATAAACTAACCTGAAAAACATTGCCCTCCAGCAGTTACATCTTCCTCGTCACCAGATGATCTAACTGATGATTGGGTGCCCTCTTGCAGATCACCGAACCTATTCCCTGGATATTGAAAGGGGCGATAAAACCAACTGTTATCTCCAACACCACTATCGTTATCGTGATCATCATCGTCATCACTGCTGTCTCCTTCGGAGCCACCTGCATCGTTGTCTGGAGCCATTCTAACTGATCTTGCCAATCTTCTCGCCTCATACATTCCTTCCTTCCACACATCCACTTCAGAACCCGCCACAGGATAATCATACAAGTTTGCCTTCTCATAACCGTCTTCATACTGTCGGTGCCAGATACTTTCTTGCTTTGGATGAGGCTTAGCAAAGTCGGGAGCATCAGGGTTAATTCTGATTTCCTCTAATCGAATCATGTGAGAGACATTTCTGCGGAGATCACCAAAGTAATAGTTGTGGTGGTTTCCAACCCATTGCCCGTTTTTGCTCCAAAAATCCTCCAAAACGTCCGAACCACTCAGCTCAAGACAACATTCTTGCTCCGGAAAGTTGTCTCTCATATAGCAGATGAGGATGACAGCGAACTGGCATGAAATCACAATGTCCTGGTATGTTTCCCTGTGATAAAGTTTTGCTTTAGTGACAGCCCTTCACTACGATGAATGTAGTTATGCCATATCGCCAGGAAATGGGTGACAATTGCAGCGTATGTGATGCGACGTCTTAAAGAGGCGACACTGCGGCAGAAAATCTCCACATACAACCATACAACATGAAGGTAGATCTTAGTACCAAGATGGGTTTCTTGGGTGGCCTTCGACAAGGCCTTCCATCAACATCTGCAGACAGTTGCGGACCTGTGGAAAGGTAAGTTTCTGAGCCGATCGCCAGTTCTGCCTGTCACTCCTCTGGACGTCGTTCAGTCCCAGACCATGATCTGGAATAGGGAACATTTCGTAAACCAACTGCAACTGATTCATGTGGACTAAGTAATCCCCCAACATCAATACACGCGAAGCATGGTCAAGTGGATTAAGAAGCTTCTTGTGATTATGTATATAGTCCTGATCACATGCATCTCTGATGATATACCCGTTCTCTGTCTCAACCTTCCTGCAGGAAAGAACAAAACCAAGTTCCATAGGGATGGCATGATACCTGCTTCCAACGTTGTTTGTCCCAAGCTGTAGCATAAGCTTCCTGCGTCTCGAGTCACCATCTGAACTGTGTCCAATCAAGGGGCCGACAATGTCTTGAAGTTCCTTTTCGTAAAGGCGTTCAACTGTCTGCCATTGTCTGAACACAAATTCATGGTCGAACCTATTACACGTAGGCATGATGAGAACAGGAATTCGAGGAAGTTTGGGGTGCAGGGGATTCAGGATGATTGCGCAAGCAAATGGGCCAATCTTGTACTCGTTGAATGCATTGACGATTGTGTTGTACCCTTGTTCGCCATTCCCAACAACAACAGTGAAATAGTCAAGGCATTTATGATCTGCTCCGGTGACTCCACAGAATCCCAGCAGTTCATCAGTACGCTCGCTGTAACTGATTTGTCCCAGAATGGCGGTATCATCTTCTGCTGCCAAGTCAGGGACATGTTTGACGCCAAGATTGCTCATAGCTTCTTTATACAGTTTGCCAAGGACCTTTAAGTTATTCTCTTCAAAACCACCGTCCAAATGTACTAGATGTTGGTTTCGCCAGCGATAGATGGAATGAATTTCTGGCCCACAGAGGTTGATGGCTACAAATGTTGCAACTCTTGGCCCGCCCCAAAGTAGCAGAACCTCCAGAAACAGCTTAAAAGAAGACTGGTAATGGCGCCCGTTCTTTTCAACATGAAAGTTTTTTGCAACAGTTTGCAGCACACCGACCAGGGTGTTTCTATCCTTCAAATAACCATTTTGTGCTGCCTTATCCAGATTGTGGCAAATGGCTTTCATCGAGCCACGTCTTGCGAACTCGGCCAATTTTTCATCCAAAGAACGCTTTCGTATTCTCAGCCTTAAGTTCTTGGACTTGAGAAAAAAGAACTGAGATTCTTTATCGTCCAGCTTTTCCTTCTGTTCTTTTAATTTCTGTTGCATCTCAAATGTGGAAAGGAAGTCGTTTCTAATTGTGGAGTTGTCTCTCTTACCATCAAAACCAATTCTTTCACTTCGCAACAAAAAGCGTTTCTTGAAAGATGGAAGTTTGGACACACCCTCACATACAGAGCACATATCATTTTTAAACGTCCCCACATCTGCACAGCGTAAACATTCAGAACTTCGAAATGTCCCTGTCATTTCTTTGGAGCTTTCCTTACAAATTCTAACGAATTTGTAATGTGGCTCTGGATACCAGGAAATTTTACTTTTGTCTTCACCTGGCTTTGTATCATTAATAAGCACTTTGGGATTAACAGTTATCTTTTTATCGCCGACATTATACTTGTAACGTTCAAGAAAGAATCCATGACAAAGTTGCTTACCAGGGCCCTTTGTGTTAGATCATTTGCTGTTATCTTGTGTGCGAGCTGTTTTATGGAAAAATGACGCAATGTCAGCCATTGAGCCAACACAGGAGGCCTTCTGCTGATGGCTACGTCCTTCAACATGCTGTTTCAAATTGAAGAGAAGGGATCGTTGAGAAATAGCAAATGATGTATTGCAGGAACGGCACAAAACCTCCTCTCCCTGAAAGTGAAAGACTTTGGGAAATTTGCCTTCAATCTGATTCCGAAGACCTTGAATTTCTGTCGGTATTTCTGAACTTCTGGACCGGCTAATGGCTACATTTAACTTGTGCCTAGAGGTTATAATGTGCAACTTTAACAAACTCAGATCCTGGTTCGCTTGTCCTACGGCGACTTCAGATGAGCACACATTGCATTCCGCAAAAAGCTTCCCTTGTCTTCTTTTAATATTAAAAGCTACGCCTGGTTCCTTCTTTGCAAGTTCATTTACTTTTAACTGCTGACTTTCCAGTTCAGTATCCACGTCTACTACTTCGACTAGCTCTACGTGTTCTTCAGTAATATCATGGTGAGGTGATGAAGGAGTGTGATTTTTGGTAGCGGACGGCTTTGACGGCATTGTACTGGTGTTTTGTGCTGGAGAAACATCCTCGAGGTTAAGCGACGCTGAAGTTGAAACAGAGACTGGTTGGTTAACGATGCTTTCTGTTTGCCCTTCTCCCTCACAAGACAAATCAGTTTCTAACTCTTCTTGTATTGGCTCCAACCTCGGTTTAACATCCCCGAGGTTAAGCGACGCTGAAGTTGAAACAGAGACTGGTTGGTTAACGATGCTTTCTGTTTGCCCTTCTCCCTCACAAGAAAAATCAGTTTCTAACTCTTCTTGTATTGGCTCCAACCTCGGTTTTTTGCTGGCAGTGTTTCCTCTTCGCTTGAAATTGGCTCGTGTTCGACTGGACTGTGGCCACAGTACTCACACAAAATACTGGCAGTAACAGTGGTTTCGTACTCATCACACTCTTCACATTTCAAACATTTCCCACGCAATACGCCTCTCTTGTCCTTTCCCATTGTAGGCTGTTTTCTTGCCTGCTATTGCCAGCCGTGCCTGCGACATACCAGATACGGCTTTATATTAGCCGAGATTCTTTTATCTTACTCGAATATTTATACTTATGTAAACGCGCTAGTTTTGCGCACGATATATGTCATGGAGTACCACCTTTAAATCGTTTTATGCAGGAAACTGTGAAATTCTTAAATTGTAGCAATAAAGCGATGTAAACCTCTGAAGCCTGGAACTGCATAAATTTTCAGTCACATTATTTATTGCTCCTGAAGAGTTGAGCACTCTAGAAAAATTATTCTAAACGGTTCAGAAGAATATATTTATATTTATATATGTACCGTATTTATTCGATTACACGTAGCAGATGCGGCTTTAATTCGCATAGTATACCCGAACTCAAAAAGCAAAAACAGTAATAAACTAGTTTCACCAAGCCTAAAGAACTATTTCCGTACCAATGCATTCAAAGCTCTGATTAATATAATCAAAACGTAGTAATGACAGGCAATAATGTCTACCTTTTTCTGTGCTCGCTCGCACCAGGCTCGCACCCCGGACTCGCACCAGGCTCGGACACCAGTATGGCATGCGGTTGGACCCTTGGACCCAGGGTTCTGAGTCAGGGGTTAGATGAAATAGCGGACAAAATTCCTGAACGAAATTCGGGCATGAAATACGGACATTCAAATCCCGGCAAAGGTCAATTTTCTTCTCTTTCAAGCCCTCGCAAATAGCTGATGAAAGCTATTTTATAGAAGCAAGTAATTTTTCTCCCGGTTTTCCAAACAGTTTCCGGTTTGCACTACCCGCGATTGTAACTTCCAGATATTAAAATAATTTTTGTTCTACATCTTCATTATAGCTTTGGAAAAGCCATAGCTCACACTGTGTGTATTCGTTATAATATTTTCTGATCATAATGCGAAAATCTGGTCTTGAGGCCCGGTCTTGAGGTCTCGAAAGTCAGACCAGGGAGGTCAGGAGGCCACAATCCACGTGGTAATTAATTACATGCGACCATTTTCGTTATATTATAGGGTTTATATTAAAAAAAGAAGCACTTCTTTCTCTAAGTCACAAAAAAGCTAGTCCACCTTCTTTCTTGTAGTCTCAAAGAACAGTCCTAAATAAGTCCTAATTTTGGACACGGGTTTTCGATTTTCAACCCCGTATTCAACTTGGTCGCGTTGCAAGTTACATGCTAAGCTCCGGGGCTGAGCTATGCCAAGCACGCACGTACGCCGTTATAAAGAACAATAAATTGTTTAATTTTAACCAGTATTAAAACCACCGACTTCCGTCTGAATCCCGATTTTTGACAGTTAATAATATCCAGTACTGTTTTATGATAGCCATCTATTGACACTTTCTTTACTTTTACTCCCGAGGCTGAGTGGCGTAAATTTCAACTTGTCGATTTGATTTTTTATATGTTTGAGTGGCAATTCCCGGTTTCCCTAGTCTAGATAAAATCTTCAACCAACTGATCAGTTTCCTGAAAAATGATACCCTATTCTAGAGCCAAACGCTCTGATTTATATACCCTATCCTAGAGTAAACTGCTTGAAAACCATACCCTTCACAGCGGCACATACCTATATAGCCCATATATGGCAGTACCCCCCCC